ATTCTTTGTGCTCTATTCAGAAGAGTCTGCTCATATAATGAATAATTTATATAATGAGTGTTTCTAAATGGAGTAGGCACAAAATTATATATATCTAAATGGCTGCCAATCTTCTTTTCACTTAGATTCATGCTTTTTTATTTTGTTCTTGAATTTCCCTGCAGATTTTTGAGAGACACCAGTTTTTTTTCGCACGTTTATGTTTGTCTGTAGGTATGCTAACACAGCAGATGACCTATACGTAAACACTGTCATCTGGAGATCCTCCCTCCATCCCAGTGGTATCTCTACAGGCTAACTTAAAGCTCTTTCCTCCAAGTAAGTCACACCCATCTTCAGTATGGGCCAGAAGGAAGATGTAGGGAACTTACAGGCCCATCAGTCTAGCCTCAGTCCATAGGAAGGTGATGGAGCAAATCCTCCTGAAAGCTATTTCTAAACACATAAAGGACAAGAATGTGACTAGGAACAGCCAGGGTGGATTTAAAATGCCACTAACCTGGTAGCCTTCTAAACTGAGATGACTGGCTTGGTGGTTGAGGGGAGAATAGCGGATGTTGTGTACTTTGACTTTAGCAAGACCTCCAACACAGTGTAAATTGATGAGATATGCGTTGGATACAGTAAGGTGATTGGAAAGTTGGGTGGACTACTGGGCTGCAAGGATAGTGATCAGTGGTGCAAAGTCCAGCTGGACTGGTCCAGTGGTAGCCAGTAACTAATAGTATCCTTCGGGTCAGTACTGTTTACTGTCTGTCTTAATGATCTGGGTGACAGGAGGGAGTGCACTCCCAGCAAGTTTGCTAACGCCACCAGACTGGGCAGAGTGGTCCATATGCTGGAGGGCAGGGCTGCTGTTCAGAGGGACTGGACAGGCTGGAAAAGTGCACTGACTCACTGAGTTCAGTAAAGGCAAGTGCAGGGTCCTGTATCTAGGACAGAATAACCCCGTGGGACAATACGGGCTGTGGCTGACAGTCTGGGGACCAGCTCTGCAGAAAAATACCTGGAGGTCCCAGTGGACAGAAAAGTTGACAATGAGTCAGCAGTGTGCCCTTGCAGCAAAGGTGGCCAAGCACATCCTGGGCTATTTTAGCAGAAGGCTAGCCAGCAGGTCCAGGGAAGCGGTACTTCCCCTCTATTCGGTACTGGTGAGACTGCATTTGGAGTCCTGTCTCCAGGTTTGGGCTCCCCGGTGCACTGACATACTAGAACAAGAGTCTAGTGGCAGCCACCAGGTTGGTCAGAGGGCTGGAGCACATGACGTGCAATGTGAGGCTGGGGAAAGTGAGTTTGTTCAGCCTGGAAAAGAGAAGACTCAGAGAAGACCTCATCACTGTCGTCATCTGTCTTTTTTGTTTTGTTTTGTTTGTTGCTGTTGATGGTGGGTCTTTTTTTTTTTTTTCTTCCCCCAACAAGCATGGTCAGCTACTGAAACAGGTTGTCCAGAGAGGTTCTGGAATCTCCATTTTGTTGGTGTTCAAGACTCAACTGAGCAAGTACCTGAGCGACCTAAATCTGATTAGACCTGCTTGGAGGAGGAGGTTGGGCTAGCCAAACTCCAGAGATCTCTTCCAACCTGAATTATTCTATGTTTCAATGTTGAAGACAGGGCGATGCTGTCTGTGTTACTGCAGTCCTTCAGGTGTTTTGGGGCGCTCATTGTGTCAGAAGTGAGTGTACAGATGGCAATGCAAGGAGGAAGACTGACAGGCTACTTTTGTAAGTATTCTTAAAGGCTGTTTCTGTACATACATTCTGTACATACATTCACATCAAATTAATTCAGGTTCCCCTCCCATCCTGATAAGGAGTAAGTTTTGCTTTCTAGTTGAGAGCCTCTGAGAGTGCAGGGCTTATGTAAAGAAGGAAGGGAGAAACCCAGATACATTTAAGAGGAAGGGGTTTGTGGCATCCCTTGCAGAATTGGGCAGGATAAACTCGTTCTCTGGCTAACAGTGCTGGCATGTAGATCCTGTAGCGTGTGGGAAAAAAATATGTGGTGACACACCTCAAAGAACGTGTAGAGTTAAATATCCCTCCTACTACCTTTCTTTTTTTTTTTTAAATTAATTAATTTATACTTAAGTGCTTACACAGTTTTAAAAAAAAGGTACATAGTCTTTATGATGGAAACAAAGTAGAGATTTTTAGAATCTGTTTATTCTCTACCCTTTGCCCTGTTCTATTTTGAAGTTTGACGTTAGTGTCTTTTGAAAGGGAGCATATGGCATTTTTAATTAAGGCTTGTAATCTTCTGACAGATAACTGAATAATACATTCTAAATACTGTAAAGCCTTACAGATGAAAGAGTCTTCAGGGCTGAAGCGCTGCAGCTTTGTGGTATATCTTCCTGGAATACATATGCTATGTAACACTGATCTCCTTAGAACTTCGAAGAATTTTGCATAGATTGTCACTGTAGTGAGAAAAGAAGGGTTTGGCTTTTATTTTGTCGGATGTTAGCATTCCTTGGCAAGCTAAAGTTTTTGGATCAGGTAACCAGTGTGCTTTGTTCCTGAAAGTACGCAATGCAGCTTCGTTATTAAACGTTTTAATCTGTTTATAAAACAGATTAAAATAATCTGTTTTATAAACGTTTAATACGTTTTATTGTTCTTCATCAGATTTTGTTTCAAACTGCAAGATTTGTTTGTGTGTACTTTCACTGCTAATTCGTATAGAAATGCACTGTAACTGTTCAGTCTCTCCAAAGTCTCTCCAATTTAAATCTCTCTTTCAGGATTTTGTACCGGTTTGTCTTACTTTACCTTGAATGTGTGAAACCTTTTTGGAATTGTGATTTTTTTGGTAACTTTTGGGTGTGAGTCAAGTTTATTGAGATTCATAATATGTAGCGTATGTTCACCTTGTGTCTCTGAATGGCCAACAGTTTCTTATAATCTAGGGAGGATTTCTGCAAAAAATTTTTTTCCTTTGTTTTTCAAGGGGAGTAGGGTGACTGCATTTTTAATTGATCTCTTTGATCCAGTTGGAAAAAAATAGGAAAAGAGGGAATTTTAAAAATGCGATGCATTTAAATGATTTAACTTCACTTTTTTTTTTAGTTATTACGAGGAGTGATAAATGAGAAGATTTGCTTTTCTTTTCATTTTGAAATTACTAAACAATTTTGTAAAGTTGGGTCATCAAATGCATTTCTTCCACTGGAACTTAGTGGGTTCCTTTGGTTACTGGGAATCGTTTTATAGTGCTACTGAATTTTAGTTAAAATGATACATTTGGGTTTTTTTGCATGATCCTATTTCCACCTCTAGACCTAGTGAAGGTATGCAAAAAATGGGGAACCCAAATGCTTGGTAGGGAATCAAGCATTTTCCTGTGGATTTATTTTTTTAATTTACGTAGTTTAACTAAGTCATTTATTTATTTATTTATTTATATGGGGAGGTATTTAAATGCAGGTCTGTCTTGTATTTTGGAGGCTGTTAAACTATGCAAACAGGTTCCAACCTAAAAATTTCACTGATCTGATATTCAATTTGAATTATGAAGGCATTTCTGGTATGCTTCCCTCTCCTCCCAGAGCAGCAATTCTGCTGTGTTAATTGCCCTTGAGGTTCAGCATGTATGTTGTCTTTGTCCTCATGTTTTGTTGTCAAATTCAAAGACTGATCGTATACTTTCATTGAGGACTTGTATATGGCAGTTACTGAGATTATGAATTAGAAACCTGTAATTGGAGTCAGAATGACAGTGATGAAGACTTTGAGGGTAATCATACAAGGTACTGAAGCAGATCCTGCTCTACCTGAACTACTCTTGTCTACAGAAAATTAGACATGAGATTTTTGGAGTACCTGAAGAAATGAAGGTATTAGGTCAGCATCAAGATGTGACTGAGGTGGGCTGAGGAGAGCGTCTAAGGGATTGGGGGGGGGGGAGGAGGTGTGACTTTAATCGCCTCTTTGTGTTTTATTTTAGCTTCTTGAGATAGCTTTGTTCGTAGGAAAGAGTAATCTCAGACATGCTTTGGGATGTAAACTGTCCATAGCTTCAGAGGCCTTTTAGGATAATGGGCTGTTAGTGTCTTTTGGGGTTCTGATTCTGGGTAAAGGAGACAAGAATTGGAGCACTGTTAAGGTTTAGTGTTGTCTACGTAGTACTCATCTTTAATTTTTAGCAGTACTTCATTCAGATAAATCTGCAAAAGGCCCAGAAAAACTGCAAAAGCATGTTCACACGAAGCACTTTTGTAAGGAGTTAGGCTGTTCAACTTACTGTGGGCAGCTGCATGGACTCCAAAGACATCCTGAAATTGGGCGGTTAATCCTTTTGAGCACTCTGTTCCAGACTCTCATTATCCCTTCTAGTTTTTTTGTATATTAGTCATATGTAATGACATATATCCCTCTAAGTCATTTATTCTTAATACTCATGAGGTTTCTTTTCTATTTGAAGCATTCTTTTTCTCCTCCATGCGGTATGACCTTTAATGTCACAGAGTCATTTTTCTGCTCTTGGTTCAGTAAAAAATTATTTCATGGCTCTAAAGTGTGAGTAGCCTTCTTGAGATCAGGGTAGTACATGAAAGCAGAACGGCACATAAGTGATACACTATAAAGAAGTTATGTAATGTACTATGCTTTACAAGAGACTTCATTGTTATGTGAAGTCTGGAGTGGATGTGGCTTTTAAGTGATAATGGGTTGTGATAGCTCAGTAAATGGGTAGTTGACTGCCTTGAATCTTTTCCCATAATGCTTTTCTAGATCCTAACCCTTTTTCATCTATCAGCGCTGTGAATTCTTGCCTTACCTCGTTATCTTAAACTTTCATAATTAAACTATGATAATTTTGTTACTACACTTGGTTAAATAAGTCTATCCAGCATTCCTTACGGTTCCACTAATATTTTCTATCTCCTTTTGTAGTTTTAAAACCAGTATGTCAGAAGAATTTAGTATCTATTTTCTTTGGTAAATCGGTACATGCTTTTGTTTTTTCCTTTGTGTTTTTTTTTTTTTTTCTCCTCCAGAGAGTGATAACGAACTCTCCAGTGGCACTGGTGATGTGTCTAAGGATTGTCCGGAGAAGATCTTGTATTCCTGGGGAGAATTACTGGGGAAATGGTAATACTTCATTTTCTTATTTAGATTTTAAATTCTAACTGTTTTCTTTGTTTTGTAAGAGGATGTGGTCTTGTGAAGGAGATCTGAAGTTCTTCAGCTTATACGTTTTATTGCGAAACTAAACCATGAGACTTATGAAAGGTGTTTCTAAACCTAGAGTATAAGGGGCTGGTAAATTCTCTTATTTTTAACTTGTAGTTATTTGACAAATCTCTCCCCCAGCTTCTCCAAAAGTCTTATTCCTTTCATTCTTTGAGCATATGTCCGCATATGTCTGTGCTTGCTCACGCTGTAGGTGTGAGCCTTAAAATGCAGAATTTTCTGGCCAGCAGTGGTCTTTTGGGCTGGATGTTAAGCCCTCATGAATCTCAGTGCCTCTTAGTGCTACAATGTTAATGCCAGAGCAACTCCAGTCTGCCCGGTCTAAGCCATTTGTGCTAGCTGAAGTCTGTTTTTAATTGCTTGATTTGTTTAGAAGCACTCTTCTTTTCTTTGATATGCTACAAGTAAGCACTTAAAAAGGAATTCCTGCAAGGTTATGATCCTCACTTAAACTGTTTCTGTTTGAGAGTAAGATGAAGAATGTTTGTAAGCCTAGAGTGTGTTCCCAGCAGTGTTATTTCTGTGATTTAATTGCTTCAGTAACAGTGCATACTCTGCTAAGAGAGAAAAAGTCTGTGTATTTGTTAGCTCTAAGAGACCGTACGCTGTTAGCAAATGCCAGAACCACTTCTTTAGCTTTCTCTATGTAAGTAATAGCTCCTGCTGTCCGAGACAAAAATAACCAGAGGTCCTTAGTCTGGAATTGGCACGTTTTCCCAACACCACATAAAAAGAGAGCGGAGAAACATTTTAAGGATATATTCAGGCAATTTCCCTTTTATCTGGCCACTTGTAGCTTTGGAGAAAAATAGCCTTTTGCCACAGACCTTGTATTTTGCAGAGATCTTGTGCAAAGGTTATGTCAGCTGTGACATCGCAAGATTTTATTGAACTTGGCAGAACCCTTCCCTCCTGCCTTATTCTTAACTAGTCTGCGATCCAAGTTTCTAGCGTTAATGAAAGCTCTATTTGGAGAAGCACAAATATTTCATGAGATGATCGTACAAATAGTCTGGGCCCTCTGAATAAGAAAATACTGAGGAAAAGTGTGGAAGTCAGTTGATCCCTGTCCACAAAATCCTTTTTCCTCAAGTGAAAAGGATGAGATTACTGTAGACATATGTGCTCTGGGGCTGTTGAGAACTTTCCAAGGCCTGTTCTAAACAGACATCCCAAGAGAGAGTTGATAAAATGTTTGAAATTTTATGTCTGGCACGTCCAGGCCATTCACCTCCAGTGAAGCCATCTGAGGCCTTTGAAGACCTGCCACAGGTCTTTTCCAATATCCATTGCATTTGCGTGGGAAGATGTAAATTATTTTTTATTTTTTACTCACCTGTCAATTGATTCCTTTAGTTTTAACTTGGGTCCTGAACAAATATGTGAACTAATGTGAAGAGGATGCAGAAATAAAGAACCTGTTGATTGCCCACGGCTTGGCTTCCTAGGTTTTGTATAACCAACTATTTTTTCATCTTGATTAAGCACATTATTCAATGCAACAAAAAAACTAAGAGTTTTTGAGAAAACTATTCGGAAATCCTAAGAAAAATTTAGGCACTCAACTCGGAGCATCAGTTAGATAAAACATCTCAATCAAAGCAATGAAAAAAAAATCCCAGCCAGCCTGAAGACTAGCAGTAGCGAACGTATTTTCTTTAGGAGTGCATAGCACAGTATTGAGATAAATTTAAGTACATAAAATACCTGCATTCTGGAATAGTGTTTTATCACATTTTAAGAACAAAACCTGGAAAGATTAACAGATGAAAAATGTAACAATTTGAAAACTAAAAATGGATTAAAATTAACTCTTCTAGTGTGCTGAACGTTACAGCCTATGCTGAAAAAGATATGTGCACTTGTTAAGAATAAATAAATAAAATTAACATTTCCACTTGGAGACTGGAGTGCTGATTTGTATCCGAGCTGAAAATTTTCTTGCATTTTAATTGCTTCCTGTCATTTAATTAAAATGTCACTGTAAGCTAATGGACTGACTCAGCAGAAACGTTGCTCTAAGAGTCTCCTTCAAAGGATAACGTATAACCAGGAATCAGAACAGGATAGTTTACCCAAAAGATACAGTAAACGCATGACAAGTAATGGAATACCTTTTAATTTATTTAACGAGGTGTACTATTTAGTGCATTGTCAGAGTGAAATTTGTTCTTGCAAGTTGAGCTGGTTTAGCTAAGTACTTGACAATAACTGTTTCTGATGTGCTTTACAAAAGGTGATGGTCAATAGCAGTGGTTGATTAGAAATATTTGTCAAGTCAGAACTTATTCTGTGCGTTGCTGGTTTGTATCCTTGCCCTTTGACCTTTTAAAATGATATCTTTGAAGATTACTCAGGAGAATTACTGCACTTTATAACAAATTAAAGATGTCAGCATCCATGAATGACCGATTTCTCCCCAAGAGCCAACTTTGTATGTGCTGAGGATAAGACAAGCTTTTGTTTTAAGCTTCCTTTATTTATTTATTTATTTATTTATTTTTTTCTCCCAAGCTTCTTGTGTGTGTTGTAGTCTGGCCGAGCAGGCATCAGAAAGTTATCCAGCAACGTAAGGTGCTTGGGCCTTTACAGTAGCGGAAAAAACTTGCATGTTTGTTCATTATTATAGAATACAGAGCAAGGATTATTAATGATTGAACTGTTTCCCAGACAGACACTCAGAAACTGAGGAGTTGCTTATTAAAAGGTACAGAATTATGCTTTACTGCATGGACTGATGTTGCTAAAGTGTTACCTCTTCTGTAAAGCTGTCTCGATATATGAGAAATCCAGTAAAATTTTGTGCGCTGCAGCATGCTTAATTCTCAGTTGTGAATATGTTTGGAAATAAGGATGATATCGCAACATGGAATATGCATCTGTTAGCTGTTGCCGTAAGCTATTTGTATTGTTTTCTTGGTGGCACTGAGAAATTCTGTATCATGTTTATATGGAAACTTTTTAGCTGTTCATTTTGTTTTACCCACTTGCTGAGTCCTTAGAGAAGGCATTCTGCCTTTCATGTATAATACCTATGACCGAATCCATTTAATAATCAAACTAATCTGATTTGAAATGTATTATGAATGGTTCATATTCACACAACTTGTGCTTTAAATTTCTGATGTGTTTTTTTCGTTTATCCCTAACTGTACGCTTCATCATTTCATAACTGTTTAGAGTACCTAATCCTTCAAATAATTCTGTTGGATATTGTTTTTTCTTTCTAACTTCTGCCCATCGCAATACCATTAGTTAAATGTGGCCTGCTGTAAAATTTGCTGAAACAGAGAACTAGGACTGTCAGGCTTTTAATTTGGCTGACTGAGTGATGCATTTTGAAATGACTTGTGTTGCACTACACGTTTAAAATTTAAAAGAATTTTTGTGCTTAAAAGAATAAGGACATTATCTAATCATTTGCTCTTTTTGACGCCCAGTCGTTTGGGGCAGTAGGGATATCCTGTCCTCCTCTAACTGAGCATAGGAAAGACAAAGCTCTTTAGAGAGCATCTTTTAAATTTGAACAGCGGCAGAAAGCTATTCACATCTTAATGACCTGTTTCAAAGAGTGAGTACTCTAAACGTTTACATAAAATTGAGAGTCAAACGACACGTTATTTAGTGTAATGGCAGCTTGGCTAGTATTTGACTAAACTGCCATTCTCACTGTTCTCCTACCAGTAGAGTTGAATAAGATAACATGGTCAAAACAATAACAAAACAATCCAGAGTGCTTGCAAGCACTTGCTAAGGTATAAAGAGTCGATTCAAACATTCTTCCTGCTGCATTGGTCATGAAAATTGCCATAATAAATCAAAGCGAGGTTTACTGTAGATCAGTAAACACTAGTAGATTCTCAGAAAGGATTTTTAAACATCTGTGACTGAAAGCTCTGCATTATTGTGTATGTGCAGTAATTTTATCGTGAAAGTATGGGCTCAGTGACTGGCTTATTTTTGAAAAAATAAGCTGTCTTCAGTATTTAACCTATGTGAGCGTAACCCTTCCGCTGTTCTTACGGAGAACTTTTGTAGGCTTAATTATGTGTTATTTAAAAAGTTGTCCTGCATGCATCTTCCCACATTTCTTGGTATGTAGCAAAGAAGCATTAAAATGCTAGCTCAGACGAATTAGCAGATTTATTTGGGGAGCTGGGATTTTTCCAAGTTGTGTGCCAGTGTTGCTTTGTGGAACTTGCAACGTACACTTAACAGAGCAGGGCTGAATACCTGTCTCTCATGGAAAACTACATTTGGCATTGAGTGCAAAACTGGAACTTCAGTCTTCATAAAACATTTTTTGTTTTCCAAAATGTCTTTCTCTGTACAACTTCTTTTTTCATTTGCTTTTTTTTAAACCTACACTGTATGTTGAACAAATATTTAAATTGAACTGCCTGCACGAATGACAGTTTTCTCTTTAACAGTTTTATTTTCAACTCACCTTAGCCCCAAGAACAGTTCAAATTGATCTTTATAGTATCTCCTGCACTTGTCAGTAACTTTTTTTATTATGTTGTTCGCTATTAACCATTTTTGTTCAGTTTCTGCAATTGTTTGTTCTTTTAATTTTCATTAATATCTCTAATCCTAGCTGAGATAACTTTGGATATCAGTATATGTTTTGCCACTGGTTCTTACTGTGACTTCTTGCAGCATTTTATCTTTCCATGTGACAAACACCAATTTGTGTAACTTGTGGAATAAATATTTATGGTGTCAGTTAGTGACTCTACTTTTCAGAATAACATGGGAAAGCTGGAGAAATGGTTATATATTTGTCTTGTATTCTACTCCCGTAGTTGAGATATAATAGGCAAACGATTGTCTTTTTTCTCAGGCATAGTAATCTTGTTGTGAGACCGAAAGGATTATCTACGCTGGTGAAGAGCGGCGTTCCAGAAGCGCTAAGGGCAGAGGTTTGGCAGTTGCTGGCAGGGTGCCATGACAACCAGGCAATGTTGGATAAATACAGACTTCTCATCACAATGGTAAGATATGGTTTGGTTTGGTTTGGTTTTGTTACATAAAATTATACTGAGCAGCCGTTTTATACAGCCGCAAAGTAGCAAAAGGGTGGAACAGTCCGACTTGTTTTAAGCAACTGTAATTGTGATTGGGTGGCTTTACCTCCTGCCGTGAGTACCTGCTGAATGGCATGAACCGTAGAAGTTGCTGACCTATATCTGTAGTAATGCTTGACATTTAGCTTTCTCTTCACTTGCTGTGATGATAATAAGCACATCAGCTTGTTGTTAGGTGCTGGGTTTTGTTGTTTTACTTAAATTCATCACTTCGTTATTTTTCAACAGTTTCTGTTCTCTGTTTGTCTTAATTTTATGAAGTTTAGTTAAAAACAGCTGTTATTGTTTAAACAAAAATATTAGAAACATGTTTGCCTAGCTGGAGACCAGTCATCTTGCTGTATAGATGGTGAGGAGAATCCTGTCTGGAATCTTTTCCCACTCCACATCCTGGTGTCTTCAGTAGAGCCAGTAAACGTGACCGGAAGTTGTCTGTGTAGACACTGCAGACTGCCTAAAGCTACAATTTAAACACTGAGAATCGCTGCGCTGTAGTGGCAAAATCTCCATGCGATGTCAGGATGCGCGCTTGCTGCTTGTGGCGCCAAAATGCTTGCCGCAGCAGGGTAGTCCAGCACTCTTGAGAAAAACAGCGGCCTTAAAAACGATCATAAGGGCAGAAACTGATGAAGGTAATTTTATATGTTGGTCGCAGGAAATGCTGGATTTGTTAGCTAAAGAATGAATCATCTGTCTGTACAAGGGTTCTGGGGTAGACGTTGTTAGCAAAAGCTTCCTCTCGTAATGTAGTCATATCTTGTTGCCTGCCCTCTTAATCTAACCTACCAGGTAAGTTTTTAAAGGTGTCCCCAGAGTGAGGTCTTCTGTCCTCATAGCTTGTTTTTCCTTTACTAATAGAGCAAGTTGTTTTGGTAGCGTAAATTTTTTTTTTTTAAACTTTGTAGTTGGGTTGTATTTTCCTTAGAAACCGTATACAGGACACCTGTGAGCTGTATGCTGCATCAGAACCACTCTCCATGATTTTACCTTTGCGTTCCAGCAGTAAGGAAGACGTTTGTCTCATGGCAGAGGAGGCAATTAAAAGCTTCCTCTATACAAGCCTGATCTTGATGCTAGGACCCTAAAGGTGCCTTTGAGAATACTTTGTTATGTTTGCCCTTTCATGATAGAAATATCATTCAGTGACCTATATTCTGGAAGATGGTTAATGTATTTTTTCAGGTGAAATATTATACTGCTATGGATTAGAAAATTATACCCTGTTCTGAACTGAAGCATTTGTTCAAACTCAACTTTTGTTTTAAGGTAAATCACCTTTTTTCTGAAACCATGAACTTTCTTCTGTAGTCTGACTATATATAAGCTGTTGGTGTTCACATCACTTGGTGTACACCGGATAAACAGATTCATAAAAAGAAATCGACGGGAGAAATTGTATGTCAAACCAAAGCTAAGGTCCATGTTTAGCAATAGTTAGGTTTTATTGGAGCATCCAATACTATCAGCCTTTTTAATGAATTGTTATGTAATAATATACCTGTGAACAGAAATTCTTCCCATTTCATTTTTGTTCTTGTGACTTTGGTAATGTAAATTTAACTATTTTATTTTCACTCACACACACTCTCTCTCTCACACACACACACACACACACACATGTATGTATATACACATCCGTATGAATGTATGTATGTATGCACATTTAGGTATGTGTGTTTGTGTCTAATTCCCTGAATCCTACTAAAAGCTCTGTTGTCTATCAGTGATGAGGTGCTTGTTAAAGTTCAGATTTATTTGGGTATTATTGATTGTCCACTACTTTCTCCTGTATGAAAAATCAGAATTGATTTTTTCCACATTGTTTATATGCCACTATTCCAATGCACCATCGTGTACTTTATTTTTTCCCTTAGTTAGCTGTTCATTCCATCAAATGCGTAGCTTTCATCTCGTTTCCTTCAGTTTATGCATACATTTAGACAAATTCATTGTCTCTTTGTATTTTTGTGGCTCTGCTTAATATGTCTCTGTTGTTTAGGCTCGCTCCTGGAAGCTGGATATTTTGATGGGTCTCTCTTAACTTCTGTAAGCATGCAAATGTGTTTTTGACCCATCTAGACGTTCCTAGGTGGTAAGAGGTGGCGGTGTTGTGTGCTTGGAGTCCTGAGCAGAGTGTGTGCTGAGGTGCCAGAAGTAGGAGAAGGCAGTGGCATCTGTGAACTTGACCTACTTGCCTACTTTTCTCCCCTTACAACTCCCCGTAACTGCCCAGTTCCCTTGAAGCTTTATAACGCTCTGTCCCCTGCTGCAGTAGCGTTCCTAGCTGTTTGTAACAGCTCCGTTCGCTACAAAGGCAAGAGACTGCCAGCACAACACACCAGCCTCTTTCTCCTTTCTTGTGATCCAGCCTTACTTGCGCTATTCTGCTAAGTTGACAGTCGCGTTTCCTCCGTGAGAGAGGGAGCGTCGGGAAATCACTGGAAAAAATCTCTGCTCCCAGGGATTTGTAAGAAAGTAAGCTTATACAGATGCAGTTAGGGATTTCTGTCCTATGATCAAAATAACGTGGCTACACTGTCTAACATGCTCGATCTGTGGCAAAACGCTGTAACGTACTGTAGTCATTAATACAGCGTTAGCCATTGCTTACCAGCAAGGTAAGGAATGTTGGCTGATTTTTTTTTTTTTTTGAATGAGGCTTTTCTTAAAACCAACCAAAAAAACTTTGACGTCTTTGATCTCTTTAATTATGTGCGACCTTACTATTGAAGAGAGTTTTAGAGGCCTAATTTGAGGGACAGCTCTTGAAATCTGTCATTTTAGGATCTTAAGTTAGAAGGAGAACCTGATAGCTGGAATTATTAGTACTGAATTTGTGATATCTGAATATGTGATGGGGAACAGAGTTATGTTTTAAAAAAAATGGAGCTTTAAAACTCCAGTGTTGCTGGTTAACTCCTAATGAAACTGCTTGATAAGGGAGGAGGAGAATAACATTGTTGGCAGACAAAAAACACGTTCCTTGTGTTGAACCGAAGGATAGCAGAGACCTAACATTTTAATTTACTTTTGAGATGGTGATGTAGCCACATTTGCTATTTTATGCCAGCTGCATGCAGTTTGTAGAGAAGTGGTATGTTGGATTGGCCACTGATCGTTCGCAGCACTTCACAAATATGGTATGCGTGTTACTGTGTGTGTGCGTATGTATGTGTGTATATATATCCGTATCCATCTGTAGGCAGAGTTTTGAAATCTACTGCAGTATTTTATTGTTAGAGGAGTGTTTTGGTGAGTGTGTTCTGTAGCAGACAGTAATTTGGGGCTTATTTTAGGGTCTTAATTTAGCACAGAAAGAACAATAAGATCCGTCTTATTTAGAAAAATCAATGCCATGCTTATTTTCTGCAAAGGGCATGTCCTCTACTCCTCTGCACTGGAGAGCAAGAGTCTATCAGGAATGATCTCGTGAACTGTGTTTCCTTTCCCGTGTTAGAGCCATCACGTGCTGAGACGTTCCCCGTCTCGAGCCGAGTTTGGAGTTCTGGAGGGGAGGGAGCTGTTGCTGCTCTCAGAAATATTTTCTTATTGGCGGGCAGTATCTTGCATCTCCTGCCGAGCTCCAGCTCAGTGAGAATCCTCAGCCTGCCTCCCAGAAATTTTGGCTAGAGTACCACAGCAGGTCTTGCACATGATTTTAGAGAGTGGGAGCTGGGATTTGGCAGCTGCTTCTTCTCTGGCATATATGTAAATTTGTACTGTGTGACAGTCAAAATCTGCCTCAGTTACTTTTCTGGCGTGTGTGCCGTTGGCTTTTGACCCTGGTGCATGTGGCACAGTGCAGAAAAGGGAAAAATCAAACATACATCAGGAGAGATAAATATGTATTTATGTATGTATTTCTGAGTAAAAGGCAAAGGCAAATCAGAGTGAGAAAATTCTGCTCGTGTGAGAGATGATGAAGGGGTAATACTGGTGCTTGTATCGAGCTTTTGTAGGAGAGTATCGGATTCATTTGTTAAAAGAAGGTAAGTGGAAGAACATATGCACACGTGAGGGTCTCTTCATTGGTAGAACTATTCTCCTGCCTACTTGGTATTAGCCCATGCTGAGCGTCACAGGTTTCTCTTAAATAGCTGAGATGAACCTTGCCCGTGACAAGGTACGTGTTGAACTCGGATAAATTGGCTAGTGGCAAGTCACAGTTTACCCCGTTTACAGTTGAGGTGACTGGTGATGGTCTTCGGCAAGAGTTACGCTCCACCTTGCCTCACTCTGCTACCCTACTGTCCCTTTTCGAGTAGGTGCGAAGCACTGCTGCCGTGCACGTTGTTAGAAATCTGCTCTCACTTGGAAGCAGTAAAAAGCAGTTTACGGTAGAACACTTGTTGCATATTAAATGGAACAGTTTCTTTTTGGTTTCTTATATTATTATAAGAATGCCCGTTATTAACATTTCACTTTTGTGCTTTAGCTAGTGTCCTTCTTGTACATGTTCTCACTGTTGTATTTGTAGGGTGAGACGACTTTCCATCTTTAAAAGTGTGATGGACTGGTTGCCTGTTTCGTAGCACTGTAACAGATTATTCTTGAAATTTAGTTAACTTCGAGTCCCTTCTCCTAAGTTTGGAGAGCAACGCCTATCAGGGTTTAGTGTAGTTGCGTTAAGGAAAATAACGAAGCCACAGGGAGAAAAAGGCCATCTTCTACCTTCTGTGAACTCCTTATCTGTAGCTTGAAAACTTTTGAATCAATCATTATAAGCTAAGATTTATGATTTGTTCTCTTCATTCCTTTATGAGACACTTTCAGTTTCAATCTGATTTCCATTTGGAAATGAGCTATACATACATTGTATCTAACACACATTCAGCAGATTTTTAAACGATACTGCTGTTCTGGAGTAAGAAAACCAAACTGAAACCTGCTTAAATTGATTTCTGTAT